AAATTTGAAGGGGTACCCCTTGGAAAAATCGTTGAAAAAAAAAATTTTTTCTTTTTTTCAAAATATCGTAAAATATCGAAATATATTCTAAAAAACGTCAAAAATTCGTTTTACAGTACGCCTTAAGACTCGTGGTGTAAAACACAGTCTCGAATTCTATTATGAAACATACGTTTGTTCTCGCTTCCGGCTGCTCTCCTTTCAGGCAAGGGAACCAGGCTCTTCTCGTTCGCTCGCGACTTCTCGCACGCCTCCTTCAACCGAGCGAGTTCTACCCTGAAACCGCGTCTTTCCCTTTCCATTCTTTCCATTCGCTTTCTGCTCTTACCTTAATGCATCTGGCAGAGTCAGATCCGTTTCCTCGGCGAAGCTCAAGTCCTCGAGAGCGAGTGTGTGCTCGTTCAGTGCGAGAAAGATTTCAGCTCTCGCAAGAAACGCGAGAGTAAGACTGAAGCCTTTGTCAATATTTTTGCATTTGCCTGGCAATTGAAATCGATTTATAATCGACAGACCGTGGACTTTATACATTTAGAAGAAAACTGAATATAAATGCTACGTGTATTGTATAAAATGTAGAAAATATTAAATGTACAATGCGTATTGCAATGAAAGATTGAAGATATTACTTACATTTTTTTAATTGGTATAATAAATGTCTCATAATAATGAAACGTGACGTGAAAAAAATTAGATCGTAAAAAATGATTAAATGCGTTAAAAAAAATTTCACTAGTAATGTTCAGGGACATAAAGAATGTTAAAAGTGAAAAGCACATTATTTCTTTTTAAGCAAAACAATAATAAAATTCTGGTCTACACTTAATTTTCTACATTAGCATTACAAATGTGATATTTTGCATACAAATGTGCAATCTAAGCAAGTTTTCCATAGATATAATTCATTTTTATTACTGTTGTAACAGTAATCGCGAAATGTTTGCAAACCTGGAAGAGGAGCGCGAAGCACGGCCTGACTGAAAAGAAGTAAAGCCTTGCGGCGTTCGCCAGCGGCCGCAGCCTGGAACCCCTCGAGCCTTCTCGCTCTTGAAGCAGTCGCATCCTTGCCACGATACAAGACTTCCGTTCGGTTCAATGTTTCCAACACGGTACCGGCGACTTTCGTATCCGTGAAGATTGTACGAATTCGTTGCTCGTCATTGATCAAGCGACCGAACACCTTCGTGAGCCACTGTTCACCGGCCGCCTGCCTGGCACTCTCACTGAAATCGTGAAAAAATCCCTTGGCACCGGACCTCAAAGTTTCCAATGAACACAGAGTTCTGTAAAATCCTTCGGTTTCTTCCATGTCTCGAAGATTCATCTCGCGATTCTCATCGACGAGCAATGCTGCACGACAGTGCAACCGGTACTACTGGGAAATATGTACAAGGAAAGACGGTTGCAGTCTTCCTATTCCTACCCGATCGAATAATTTTAGACAAAGCCGGCCCCTCTATTTCGGTCTCGAATTCTCGTGCAGATGCCCCACACCTAGCCTAATCACTAGATTGCTTTTTATGCATGAGAATCAGAGTGCAGATTTTAATGCAAAATTTATTTATTTATGCATTTATTATTAATATACGGGTCTGTAAAATCCGTGCAAAATATGACAATATTATATATAATAATAATGAAAAATAATAATAACTGAGAGTGATATAATACTGTTATAGGTGAAGTAAATGGTCAAGAATAATTCATTTGAACAGAAGGATAATAATATACTTGGTCTTCGACATAACAGATTTGGAGAAAATATCCGCCTTAGAATAGGTAAAATTGACATGACTGGCTTTATTGGATTGTAATAACTTGAAAATGATGAAACTTTTGAGATCTCAATTTAAGAAATGAAATATTGGACAGTTCACGTCCATTTTTATAGAAAATTTAAAGGCAGCACGTTTAAATATTAATGTACATTTATTGATTTATTGAATTATACAGTGTGTTCCAGAAGAAGTGTTAGAGCCGAAGAGAGGTGATTTTGTAAGTGTTTCTGAACAACAATTTCCTTTGCCAAAATGCAAAGTGAGGCATGGTTCTTAAATTATTAACGAAAAACACTAAACCACATAGTCTTTCAACAGATTTCTTTAAACATGAGAGTCAGTCGTACGGACATTTGGTTCTACGGTAAAGGAGTAAACGTGTAAAAAGAATTGACTCATATCCGCACAGCTAAAAATCGTTTCCCACATCATGGATTGTATAAAATACCCAACGAAGCTAGTCAGCACCTCTAGTTGCGGAACTATTGTACATGCGTCAGTCGATCATCTGAATATGTAATGATCCGTCTGACTTACTTCCGCAAAGCTGAAATTTTGACGAACGATATATTATGTAATATAATTGAAGAAAAATGTCTATCAGTGGTCGCATCGGACATCAGTTTGCTAAATGCAAATCAAAGTGCGTTAACATTAAACCTATCGACAGTTTTTAGATATTAATGTGCTGTATTTATGATTTACACTTTAGCGCAATTTAATTGGCATCTAATTTGGCATTAGAACTTCAGTTTAAGATAATTATACAAGGTGGCCCACATAAAGTATGGCAAGTTCACCGAGAACATTAGATCAGCGAGGCTGGCTAATAAAAAAATTATGTCTAAGAGTTCCTTAAAGTTCCAAAGAGGGACCCTTCATTTTTTTAAGTGGCATATGTGCAAAAAATATAAACATAAATGAAACGTATGAAATGTATAAAAATACAGAAATATCAAAATTACAGTGCATATTGCAACATTTAAATGATAAACGAAACTGTTATTTAAAGTAAATTTTTTAAACTTATTTATTTAATATTTTATTTTATATAAAAATCTGCAGTCTAATAATCACTACTGTACTCATCATGCTCGTCTCATAGCACTTAGTTCTGTAACTAAAGTTGCTGACTTGTTTCATTAGATATTTTACACAATTCATAATGTGGAAAAAAGTTTTCAGTTTTGCTGAAATTACTGTCCCGTTATTAGTGCGGCTGACAAAGTCTGTTTAAATATTAACAAAACATAAAATTATCCTTGCGGAAATCGGACCAGAAATCGAACGCTACCGTCCGTATTATAATTATGCAACTGATGATACACATATATGTATGTGTACAGAAATACTGACGTATTGGGACAATTAGGAAACAATGAGTACGGCGCGAGGCGGCGGCGATGCTTATTAGGGCGGTGCGGATCGGTTGTTTCTGATCGCTGGGCCGCTATGCTCGACGCGCGGCGCGGTCGGTTAGTGGGCGCCGCGAGTTTGCTCCGTAAAGCTCGTCAGCCGATCTTCTCAGTCAGTTGAACACACACGCGTCGCGCTGTTTCCGACCTGGCACCGACCGGGACAACGCTTCTTTTCGCGACGAAGTCTACGCGGATGAGGGAAAGCCTAACAAAGAAGGGAACCATCATTGAGCCGTGGAAACGGGAACGGGAACGTGTAAGCGCAGCTGGAAAGTGCGCTGCGAACGAGAAGGACGAGCGCCGCGATAAACCGTGGGAACGTTGATAACGATAAAGAAAAAAGGCGACTTGGTCGAAGCGCGCTGGATCCCGAGTATCTTGGAATGATGTAAGTCGACGCGGTTCGAACCTCGAATCGCGATCCTCCGCCGCTAACCAATCGAGCGTGCGCGCGCGACCATTTAAAAAAGCTCTCGTTTCCGTTTCGCGCCATATCCAGCCAGTTCATTCCGTCTAACCGAGTCGCTACTAGAGGTGGTGTTCAAAATCACTTTCGCACAGGTACCGTTATTTTTCACGATGATCACAAAATCACGATCACGACCTGTGATTATATTCAATCACAACCGTGATTGCGATGATGTAATGAGTGGACCGGCTATAATCTCAATATTCATATCTGCTAAAGTAATCTGAAGTAACTGAATTTTTAAAGTATTTAAACAAAAAATGATTACTTATTTTGATAAATAAAATTGTTCACTTTCTTATCGTTTACTACTTTAAATATGCACGGCTCATATGAGGCGCGCAATTAGCAAATACTGAAAGAATTAGAAGCACTGTGAAGTATCACCTCTGATTGGGAACGAACATGATCGGATCATGAGTGATCCAAAAGTAGCAGTTCTAGTCATTTACTAGTCGCTACGCTTTTTAAAACTGGCATGATATAAGGAAGACAAGGGTCGGTATTCAGAGTCCTTAATTATATTTAAGATCGCCTTAAGCATTTGCTTATGGCTCTGTTTCCTGTACAAGACAGGAACTGGAAAGATAGATAGACAGGGATAACAAATTCTTAAGACGATCTTAAGAATAAGCAATGACTCTGAACACCCGCCAAGCAGGGTTCGTATAATTTTTCCCGCACGGCTCGCTTCCCCTCTTTTTCGCCCGTATTTCGATTCCCATTACTATTCTCCTCATGCGCCATCGCTGACCATGCCTAGCATATGCCCATCAAGTACCAGTCCCCACCATGGTCGCGTCGTCCCCACTTTCCGGTCGAGGGAAAAATTATACGATATCTGCGGCCAAGGTGTGTTCTTTAGGCAAACGCTTGACCCTTTCTGCACAGCCTACTTTTTGTACGGCCATATTGTAATATGGCGACGTAACTAAGAATAATCAGTAAAAAATTAGCATTATACGTACCGGTACGCAGCTAACATGTGTTTTTAATCGGACGAGAAAAATCAGGCGGTGAAATCTGATCATGCGAAGAAGGGAGGAAGCGCGAAAGCACGTTCGCGTGGCAGGAAATCGCATGGAACCGGAGGGAATGGAGACCTTCTTTCGATCAATCTTCGAGATTGATATTTGATTGATCCTTTCATCCAATCACTGTAGTATTCAATTATATGTTAATTATAATAGTTATTAGTAGACTGTGAATGGTTATAGAAACAGTTACACTTCAGTAGACTCCGATATAATGTGATTAATAGACTGCCGCTGAAAAACTTGCTTGGCTGTAATAATACAATCTGAAAGAAGTAAGGAAACTGTTGATGAATTTTATTCAATTTCATTTACTTTATACCGTACTGCCTAAAGAATATATTTAGCCAACATTTCATTAAATATTTTATGAGTAACAATAATAAATAATTATATATTCTTATCTACGTATCCTGTGTTTTAATTATCAATTTCACTAGTCTTGGTATTCTGGCTATTAACGTTTCCATTATTTGAATATCAATATAATTCCAGTCGGTTTCCTGAGGTTCCCATAAATTGTGCAAAAGGCAAGCTAGAACGGAGCGTGAACGGGCCACTAAACTTAAATAAATAACTAAAATTAAATCAACTTGGTGATACTAGAATTATCACAGGTACTATTACATTACATAGTTATCTTTTAATCCTTTATTTTATTGAAATTTTAATAATTATGATGATTATATAAATTTATATAATATGTCTTTTAAGATCTTTTAAATTGAAAAATATTTGTACAATCTTGACTGTTAGTCATTGTCCGAATCTCCAAAAACGAAAACGCTAACGATGAAGAAAACAATTTAACGCTTAACTGAAGCAGATTTGAGGATTAAATCAAGTAATTACTGTGTTTTATTATTTATCTTGTACGAAAAATTATATTATATGGAAACTGTAGTCGTAATATCTTCGGCGCGTTATAGGAATTCGCGTTGTAAGAACTCGCTACTCTAGCTAAAAGCGGATTTTATGCTTTCATAAGAAATCGGAGTGTGCGAAAATTATGAATGCTACATGTAACGTACAAAACTAAGCGGGATATCAAAAGCTATGTGCATATTTCAATGATAAAATAAATGTTTACTGAAACACAGCTGTTAAACTGATACCGCAAATGTTTTATTTTTCATAAACATTCGCTGTTTAAAAATATTAATATGCGATATGCGAGAATGTAAACAATATTAGAATTTTTATTTAGCATAAGAATGGGCAGCGTTATTAGAAATTGATTTCTAATAAATTCGGTAGACAGGTACCGTGATTGAAATTGATCAAATAGGCACGGCCTGCTCGTATTCCTGACCGATCAATTTAGACACGCGCCATCAATTTATACCCCGAGTTAACCTTCGTTAGCCTCGAGCACGTCTCGGTATCTAAATACATAAATACTTGTACGTATAGCGAAAAAGAACCGCGCGATGAAAAATCTCGAAAGGGTCCGACCCGAGGCTCTCGATTGATCTCTATTCTCCGACGACTCTCCAGCCCGCCTGTTGCTTCATCTTCCTCCGTGACTTCCTATCATCCTCTCTATCATCGTTCCGTACGTTAACTACAAGTACTTTCCTGTTCAAATATCTGCCATTTGATCATATAATAAATCATATAGTAATAATTATGTAATAAATCATGCAATAAATAAAATGAATCAATAAAATAATAATTCCTAAATGTAATAGCATAAACTATTTTCATTTGTTTAACCAGTACAAATGTTTTCTTAATAAAAGAATCTGCTAATGAACCTGTATGTAAATGAAAATGTATTGAATATGTATAATAAACGAAACTAGGGCGCCTGAGTTAAAAGAGGCCACCTAAATGCCTCTTCTGTTTCTTGCGTTATGAAAATGCTTCATAGCATGACTTAAATGTTCTTGAAGGAGGTATGTCCTGTAGCAGAATTTTTTTCTGGGCTCATTTCTTTCGATTTTCTTCGAGGTCATTTTTTTGGGTAAAACACGTGACTCTATTGTATCGTAATGCAAAAATACATTCCAATATATTCAAATGTAATAGCCTCGTATGTAACAGTTTTTAGTCTTTAATGTTTTTTGTTTTCAATGCTATTTCAATATTCACATCTTCATCTGCTACTGTTGTTTATAATAAAAAAAAACATAAGAACAAAAAATATGAATATTTATAATATAAAAAGCAGAAGAGGTATTTAGATGGACTTTTTTAATTGAGACGCTGCGTATAGTAATAATCATATAACAAATCATACGCTAAATAAAACATGATAACAATGTATATATGTACGTAATAATACATGATGAATATTTAATTCGTTGACACATTTTGTAATTTACTGACGAGGTTTATTAATGAGACGCGGTCAGATCATCGGGGTTGTGTATTGCTGCAATAGTCGTGGAATCGTTTATGTATTCATGGAAATTGAAAATAATTTAAAGATACATAGTACGCAGTAACAAAAAATACCCAGTACCTACAATAAAATATAATTTATAATATATAAGGAAGATATCTGTTTCGTTTCGTTAGTTTTATTTATAAAAATTGGAATTTGTATGAACAACCGCAGTCTAGTACTAATATAATCAAGTTCCATTTTTAAATATTTTTTTATTAAAAAATCAGTTAGTGAATCACATAATAAATCGTATAACAAATCATACATTAAATAAAATGTGATAATACACTTTCCAGTTGTTCATTCACGTTGGTAGAACATTTCATTTGATTATACATTTTGTAACAGATCGACGAGGTATATTAATGAAACGGGATCGGATTTTCGGGGTTGTGCATCGTTACAATGATCATCGAATCGAGAGTGAAATGGAAACGAGTCGAAGTGAGCCGCGTCGTCGCGTATTGCGTAAGCATCGTGCAACAACCTTGCAACTAGACCGAATCGCTCTTTCTTTCAAATATCGTGAATGGTGACGTAACACACACGCGAAGGAGGCGAACGATGACGCGAAGCGCGAGCGAGAAGCGATTCAGTTCGGTCGCCACGTACGCGCAACGGCCTCGGGCCTCGGATCGCTCTCGCTTCGTCAGCGTCTTTAGCCGTCGTCGAACAACCGAGGAAGTATCTCTTCTTTATCCGATTTCCCGGTAATCGCGAACATGGAACCGAGCTGCGCGCCGGACTCTTCCACGCTCGCTCCTTTCGTTAATACCATCGATAACCCGATAACCGATAACCGATCTTGCCTGTTTCAGAGTCGTCGATGTGGTAGTAAAAAGCGGTCTCGAATGCGACCGTGAACGCAGCCGGCCGGGCTGCCGATCGTGATCTTATCGGCAGCCTTCCCGAGGCACGCATTCGCCACCCGTGAATCCGGACTGAACCGTCGACGATGTCGTCAGCCACAGCCTGCAGCGTCTTCGACGACCTGCCGTTGACGCCGATCGCGTCACCATCGGAGAGCCCGATGCAAAGTCTCGAGACGGAGTCGAACGGGGATCAACGAATGTACAGCGACGCGTTTTTAAGCAGTTGCGCCGAACTCTCTAGTTACACCGATTCCGTCTGCGACAGGGAACGATGCACCACCACTTGGTTCTCTCAGGTTCGCCGTAGATGTTCCAGCATTCGCAGTAAGTCAATCGTCCTACGAACGCGGCTGAAGAAACTCGAATTAACAGACGATAGATGGAACAAGAAAATGTCTATCCTATTCGGAAAGTTTTAGTATGTAATAGATACAGTTTTGTCGCAATAGATATGTTGAACGGTTCGACAGATTGGCTACCGAAGATGTGTTCCTGCTTGGAGACTAGCACCGCGTTCCTTAGCCAATCCGTTGGAAACTATCAGCGGCTTAGTGGGAAAGGAAATATCTTCGAATTTGCCCGCGTCAATAAAAATCGTGCCGGCGTTGGATTCGGGCAACCGTCGGACGAAAGCGAACAAGACGACGAGAAGGTGAATACCATAGCCCCTTAATATCAAATTAATTACATACGCGTTGCGTTTATTCGTACAGATAGATGTACTCCGGGTTTACTGCGAAGATGAGAGTTGGTGCGAGGTAACCATCCAGAAAAATATCCGTGCGATAGACTTGTGCGAGCTACTGAAAGCGAAGAAGAGAGCGGTCGGGGTTAATTGGTCGATCGTGGAAATGTGGTCGGAGCTAGGATTAGGTGAGTCGATTGTCGTTCTCCGAATCCGGTTCCCTAAACGTAAGCGATTATTGCAGAGCGCACGTTGGAGGACCACGAAGACGTGACAGCCATCTACAGGGAGACGAGACTGTTTCCTGTCAAGCGGCTGCGAAAATTCGTCTTTCGGCAGGATTACATGAAATATCAATTCTTTTACGATCCTAAAGTGAGTAACGCAACTATGTGAATCGCGATGTTCTCGTTGCGAGACGAGTCCCGGTTTTTTTTTACAATCCAGTGAGGTCGCGTCGTATCTATATTTCCTCGGTTTTGCGTCAATCCAGTAACGTAGATAACTAATTAATTAATCGAGACGGAAGCGATAACGCGACGCGACGTTACGAAAGTGGAAAGCGCGGATTCGTACAGCATTCGGCCGGTCGGTAACTCCGCGTCTACAATTGCCTACCGGCTGAAAAGAGCGAAATGCAAAACCGAATACATGGGCAACGTTCTTCGCAGGAGTTCTTTCCCACCGAGATGATAGACGTGCCGGCGGTGTTCGCGGAGGACAGGGACACGCTGGCGGAAGCAGAGACAGCGTTACGGGTGAGTCCGAGTTCGATCCGCGATTCAGACCGCGCGTCCTCCGTACGAACGATCTATCGATTGCAATTTCAATCAGCGATCGCCTTCGGTCGTTTCAGGGCTATTTAGAGGACGAGGAAGTCAAGTGCCCGGAGATATTCAGTCTAGTTTGGGTACAGATCGGCCGGGTGAACGTTTGGCGGAGGATCCATTTGCTTCTTCGCGATAGAAATCTCTACCAAGCGAAAAAGGTATCGTAGCCGATGAGTTATAGAGATGCGTTTTAAAGCTGAACTCGTTTCACCGGTTGCTAGGTATATGTATATGTACTATGTATTACGTATTTACGCGAGAGGAATCGATCGATATTAGCGCGTTCAACTTTTGTTGGAGTTACCGGGGCGAGGGGTGCGAAAGGGTGACGAGCGCACAGCTGACAATGGGAATCGAACGCGGGTGCAGATGTTCGGTACGCGTGCACACGCGGCTCTGCATTCTATTACAATGAATAACAAATATTATGGAAAGTCCTAGTCACTAGAATCGTTTTACCGATCGTTACCTCCTGCATTCGTTGCGTTCTGATTCATCGGTCTTCTCGTTGCTCGGCTGTCGGATCGATATCTCGTATTCGCGAGGTCGCGTCGCGCTGGCAAGAGAAGAAACCGAAGAAAGCGGGGATATACTTACCTACCTTCGCGGAGCTTTCACCGAACACGCGGCGTTTCCCTCCTCGCCGCGCAACGCATCCGCGGCGTCGGTGACAGAAATATTGTTCAGGAATTATAAAAGGATAGAATGGGTAGGGCTTGGAAGAGCAAGCGATGAGCTTCAATAAGACGAGGATTCGCGAGATGGTGTCAGTACTGTTCAGAGCGCGCATCGTCGGGAAACGATGAAACGAGTTTGCCGCGCGTGACACACATTTCCCCTGGCAAAAGAGCTATTCCGCTATGCCGCTATGCTATAGTCTATAGTCTATACTGTATAGGAACATGGGTCGTCGACCTGCCTTCCGTCGCTTCCTTTACCTCTACCACCACCTCCGTTACTCTCCTTTCTCTTCTCCTTTCCTCTCACTACGTCTCATTGCCGTGCTGCCGTGCCTCTTTCCTTATTTTCCCCGCGTTTCCCTTCTTCTTCTTTTGTTCTCTGCTCCTCCGTCAAAACCGCAAGCAACGTTTTGTTTCTCTCTACACGCCGGAAACGTAAACTCGACCCGCGGCCCGTCGATATCCGATGCCCCGAGCGAGCGGGGGGTTCCGTTCCGATCCGATTCCCATCATTCACGGTTCGTCGCGAGCGAACCGACCGGAACCGACCGGAACTCATCGGAACTGGCAAGAACCCCGCGTCGAGTTTTGGCGACGATATCCGGTTATGTAAATGCCCGCTATACTTACGCCCTACGCATATTCGGTGACCGAATTGGATACGTGCTTGAAAGCCGGACGAGGCTCTCTCGCCGAGGAAAAAAAGCAGCCGATGCAGAAACGCGAACGAGCGAGCGAGCGGTTTCCCTTTCTCGCCGAAACTTATCGCTCGGTTTCGAAGCGTTCTCCCCTGTTTTCTGTCCCCTCGCGGCTCGCCGAACGTCTCCCCCGTTCGTCGTCGCCCCGTTCAGGGCGTTGGGCAAACACAATACGCTTTTCGCAACGCGCGCGATACGTGCATATTACATGCGATGTCCGTTGCGTCTACGCGATTGTTCGCGTTCGTCACGCGTAACGCACCGTGAGTACTGTTCGCGGTTTCATTCCCGTCTCGTTCGATGGAGCGCGGGTTCTCCCCTCCGGAACCGGGATAGAAAACTTTTACCTATCACCGGTCGCCGATGATCTAACTATTTTTCCGTTACATTTCTTCTTGAATGTCTTTCAAGCTAGAACTGAGAGTCGTATAGTTTTGGTTCGTTAAACGGTTTAAGTGTCTGAGATGGAGCGCGCGTTACTGGGTTCTGGCAGCCGGCCGAAACGCGTGGATTTTCCAATCGCGTAACCATCGTTTTCGGTGTCATCGGTCGAAATACGCAACTCTCTCTTCCCTCGTTTTTCTTCTATCTCATATCTCTCGTTGCAACAGTCAAAGCATCACGTTTCGTCGTTTAGATTTTTCTATGCGTTTCTATTGGTCTTATCGCAAATAAGAGAAACAGATAATTCTGATAGCGCCGCGTCGTTTGCATAAAATATCGTTCAGTCTCGTTTTCTATTTTAACGAGCGATAAGAATCGTATCGGGGATTCGAAATCCAGCTGGTAAGAATAAATCGGGGAGAACGCGCGTGCGGGGACAATAATTGAACATCAAAATGACGGTAGATCTAGGATATACATATACAGGAGATAAAAACGATGAGTACCTAAATCACGGGTCCATTTGGAGCGGATCGGTAGCCGGTCCGATTTGGGGTAGAAAAGTTAATCGGGTGAGATCGGTGGAGGTCGTATTCAACATCGGAGTATCAGGGGTGGGTCGGTGGACAACGAAGGAGCAGGCCGCAGCCTGCTGCGACAGGCACACAACCATTAGGTACAGCCAGCTGATTCGGGATATGTAGGTAGTTGGTAATGGAAAAAGGCGGAGCGGTTTGCGGGGCGACCGGGCCGGGAAACCAGCTGACTGGCCGACTCGGTCCTCTTCGGCAGTCTTCGGATCTTTGTCCGTGGCTGTGCACGAGGGTTACCGGCGACTCGTCAGTCGTCGTTCCGACACCATTGGTAGGCGATGAACGTGCGCGCCTTCTACATTCTCCAGCGGATCGACATCGACGTTACGACGTTCGCCGCTGCCGCCGCGCCGCCACTCGCGTCGAGTCCGGCCATCTCGGCTTCGGACTGATTCGTCGTCTCGTTCCCGATCCGCTGTTCGCCTGGTTCGTGTACCGATCACTCGTCCGAAAGATCGCCGCCAATCCACCGGACCAAGAATTCGTCGCCGTCCCGTGATCTGCTCTCGTTACCGGTACTTGGTTTCACCTATATGCCGACACCGCTCATTATCTCCCACCCTATTTCCTCGTACCGCGTCCCTCTCCGTCTGCTTACTTGCCAGCCTGCCTGTCTGTCACTGTCTGTCCGTCCCATCTTCCGGTTCTCGCCGCTGCCACTGTGGTCTCTTCGTTCGTGACGGAGCGAACCCAAGAGAAACCTACCTACCGGTGCTCGATTGACTCTTCGAAATACGTTCGCGAGAAACGGATAACGAATGCGCGAATGTGCAGATTTAATAGTGTGGAGCGCGATGAAATCGGATAGATGCGGCACGATAGCTCTGCGTTTTCGAAACGAAAAGTGTAGGACGGTGTCGCGTAACGATAACGGATAAGTGTTTCGCGCCACGCTCATATTTGTACGCACCGCAAATCCCTTTGTTTCCCAATTGGTCTCATGCCGACAAATTCTAGCGTCAAGTAAAGTAAAACCCTAATCGCTGATAAGTATAGATTGTTCTCAATCGAACGAGAGAGACACTATCCGAAATAGAAGTGCTATCTCAATTTTCCTGCCTGTTTGTCTATCCGTCGATGTTTTTGTAGTATGTTCTCCATCCAATTGTTCCACGACACACCACCGTTTATGCTTAGTTCGACCGTTTGCATCGATCTCGAAGATAGCCACAGTCAGATCTATCTGAATGGCGCATCCGAATGAAGACAGAAACCAGCACATGAAAATATTCTGTAGGAAATTGGTCGAGGTAACTGACAGTGAGCTCGCCCAAGAAGCTGGTGCGCGATAGCGTATCGAGCGGGGTTAGCACGATGATAATTTACCGAGAACCGTTAACGCCCGATCGAACTATAGTACCAGGGGACCGAATCGCTACGACGCGATTATTCGTCCCTGCATCTTAGAATTCAAAATGAATTCTATACAAAGAAGAAATCTCATGTGGGAGAAGATACGCAAAGATATATCTCAATTTTTGTTGTCCAGTTTCATTTTACCGAAGAATTATCATCGATGGGCCAAGCATCTACTAGGTGTGATAACTGACGCAAGCTTCGAAAGAAAGGCGAAGAGCCTCGTTCACCTGGTTTGGTAGCAGGATATCTTTTTTGAACGCCCACTCTAAAACTCTCAAGTATTATTCGACACTGATTTCGCTCCACCCCGCAGTTGTTTTTCCTTTCACGAACTTTTACCGTTACGCGTTATTATCGTAATCATAGTACGTATACGGCACGACTCGCATCATTGCTCATTTTCTACGTGCAATCCATTATCATCTGTGAAATTCTCTTCCTCCCCCCCTCGCCGCGCGATATTAGTTTATCCTGTCCCTTAGGTAGAAACTGCGCACACATCCCGTGTACCGTCCGGTGTACTTATCTCCCGCGACTCGGCGACTATCCGAACGGGCTCTCCTCCTCGTTCGATCGGATCGTCCTTTTTTTTTCTTTTATGGCGAAATGGGAAAGCAGCGCACGCGACCGACGGCGAACTCGAGGCAAAATTATCGACGCGTAACGTGAACACCGCGTTTCCAGCTCGTCGTCTTTCCTAATCGCGACCATTCACGCTTCTGGTATTACTCCTACTAAACCGGTTGTTCCGCCGCACGAACGTGAATTCGTGCATCGCGAGTCCGTGACTAGCCTCGTTCGATGCCCTCCTATCTCCTATCGCTCTCGCTTTTCTCTTCGAGATTCTTAGAAATAGTTTTTTCCCTATTCATTGAACAATTTATAATCTCGCGTTTCCCGAGCCCAATCATATACGTCCGCCTGTATTCGAAAATATTTTCGTGAAATGCGTGTATGTTCTACATTTTTCGAGCGAAGAAAGATCGGGCTAATGCGGCGCGCGCGATTCGTCTAGAATCGGAATATAAACGAACGGGACGATGAAATGATTCCAGGACACGAAGCGGGTCTATCCGTTTTGCCACTTGTCGGATCACGCGGTGTACAAGATTACGAACGCTAGGAGGAGATTTAAAGCGCCCTTCCCCTGGGGCATTTGCTTGAGGCCAGTCACCAACGACGAATCCGAAAGCAGCCAGTTTGGAGAAGCCGGGCTCAAGATTATCGCTTTCCACAGTGAAAAGTCCCGTGCCTGCTGGCTCACGGCCATGAGGCTCGCCAAGGTAATCAAACACCCGATTCTTTCTACTAATCCACCGCTCGAGTCTCGAGAGCTATTGCTCACTTTTTAACTTCCATTTTTACGTCTGTATTCTCTATATATATATTCTACACGATAAAACGTATTGCTTAAACTTAAACTGCCGAATATGATTAGACTTAAAATATGATTAGACTACGGATGCTTTATGCAGAATAAAACGTTTATGGTATCATTTTAAAAGTTTCGTTTTACATAAACATTTATTTCATCATTTAAACATTAAAATATCCGTTCAGCTTTCGATACTCTGAACAGTTTATATACCTTACACTCAGCGTTTATCATTTTCTTATAATTGCGTAAAATCAGCAGTCTAAACGCGATGCACAGGTGTATGTACGAGGCTCGGTATTCGTGCGAATGCATTTTACTGAGACTAGCATTCGGCCGATCGGACGTTGGCCAAAATTTTAAACGGAGTAGCTTTACTAATCATCTCGCGTTTTTTTTTATATTTCAGTATGGTAAACAACTCAGGGAAAATTATAGAGCTTTCAAGAACAAACAGTGCGAACAAACCGACAATCCAAAGGACCGGTACGTCAACTACAGTGCGTCGAACGTAAGTTTCTCGCTACTTTTTTCTCAGTCCTTTTCGTATCTCGCGTGAATTCGCGGCTTACTGGCTCGTCATGCCGGAACGACGACTCTCCGCGCGGAAAAAGGTGCAGCGAAGAGGCAACCGGGTGGCAGGGGTCGGGGGTGAGGGGAAGCCGAGTAGGAGGAAGTGGAAGTGGAAGANTATTCTACACGATAAAACGAATTGCTTATTGTTAAACTTAAACTGCCGAATATGATTAGACTTAAAATATGATTAGACTACGGATACTTTATGCAGAATAAAACGTTTATGGTATCATTTTAAAAGTTTCGTTTTACATAAACATTTATTTCATCATTTAAACATTAAAATATCCGTTCAGCTTTCGATACTCTGAACAGTTTATATACCTTACACTCAGCGTTTATCATTTTCTTATAATTGCGTAAAATCAGCAGTCTAAACGCGATGCACAGGTGTATGTACGAGGCTCGGTATTCGTGCGAATGCATTTTACTGAGACTAGCATTCGGCCGATCGGACGTTGGCCAAAATTTTAAACGGAGTAGCTTTACTAATCATCTCGCGTTTTTTTTTATATTTCAGTATGGTAAACAACTCAGGGAAAATTATAGAGCTTTCAAGAACAAACAGTGCGAACAAACCGACAATCCAAAGGACCGGTACGTCAACTACAGTGCGTCGAACGTAAGTTTCTCGCTACTTTTTTCTCAGTCCTTTTCGTATCTCGCGTGAATTCGCGGCTTACTGGCTCGTCATGCCGGAACGACGACTCTCCGCGCGGAAAAAGGTGCAGCGAAGAGGCAACCGGGTGGCAGGGGTCGGGGGTGAGGGGAAGCCGAGTAGGAGGAAGTGGAAGTGGAAGAGAGTTTCGAAAATCGAGCAAAAAGCTCGAGGCGGTCGGTTGTTGCTACGCGGCAACTATCGATCATCTAGAATCTAGGCGGTAGTAACGTGGCGTCTCCTGTCCGATGCGATGCGATGCGATGCGATGGTAGCACGGTTCGCACGTGCTTCTTCGTGTACGTGTACGCATCGGAACCGCGATCGATAACGAGCTTTCGAGAACCGTCCACCCTTTGCTCCACGCATTATGCCCATACTTATGCTTATCGATAACCGCGTTTTCTGCAAAGTCGCGGTCGTCGACCATCCTTCGATCTTTGAAGCTTTTCCGAGATCGGAACCGCTCGTCGCAATTGCATAACGTTTTTATCATTCGATTCTGCCCGCCCAATGCCTCCCCACCCCAATGACACATCATCCCTCTTGGGCGTGCAGAAACAGCAGTAGCATTGCAACAGCTGCAGCACGCGTTTGCTACATTCGCGCGCTTGCGCCCCTTCAACCTTGACATTGAACATCCTCCGGACTCATCGAACATGACGCAAGTACGTAAGCCAACGTTTTCGACGCTGACCCATATTCGAGTCACTCCGCGCGAGGGAAATATCGCTGCACCGTTACATAAGTTAGAAACCGTGATAGGTGCATCGCCTAGCAACAAGACTGCGATCGCGTTTACGCGGTCTGAAACTCGAAACGCGATCGTGACAGGATGTCGACAAACGATAAACGTGATTGTGCCGTACTACAGGAATCGGTGCGATCCCGCGTGGCGATGGACTTCACTGGAAGTGTTGGGAGGATCGTCGACGATCCGAAGGAGGCGAAGAACATCGCCGAGGTCGAAGGTGTAAACTGGCGGCGAACGTGGAGGCCGTTTTCGAGACCGCCCCCGGGTTGCGCAGTGGTCCGGCTTCACGGTCTAGACGACGGTATCCACGTTCTACAACCGTGGTTTCACAGAGGCCTGAAGAGGGATATCGCCGCAGCCATCGTCAGGGATTACGGTTCCGTCGACGGGTGAGTCAGCAATTTTCCTCTCGACAGGTATATCCTGTGTTTAGCTTTCGAACCCACGTTTCAGAGATATGTAGTTAGTATTGCTTTTATTGGTCCTTTCGGGTTCCAACGGCCGTGGGCATCCGTTTCTCCCTTGCAAGACATATTTAAAATATACCAAAGAACCTGTAACTAAACTTATTGTAACATATAAAACTTCACAGTCAAATGAAATAAAATAAAATAAAATAAAAATATTCCATAAAAAAACCTGGACAAGAATGCGAATGATAATTATTAATTTATCACTAAACTTACCGTCACACATCAGACTCAAGGAAAAAATAGAATAAAACGAATTCTTCGAAATATCTCAATAAAAATCGAAAAAAAATAATCATAAAACCTAAAACTATAATACGCTTTATACTCCTCGCTCACAATAAAGTATACTCGTCTCTTTATATAAGAAAAACTATCCTTTAATGTCAGACAGTAAAAAATAATTTGTAACTATCAGTACCCTACAGTCTTGCAACTAGGAACAATCTCTCCCTATCTATTTTCTCTCTCTCTCTTTCCCCTCCCTATATACCCACTATTTACATACATTTACAAATCTAACCCTCTACCTGCTACGATGTTTTACAAATAGTGAAACCTTTTATCTGGCTACATAGAAATCTGTAGAATAGAATCCTATTTATCGTTTCAGGGTGTTCCTGGTTCGGGAGAGCAAAAGCAATTTAGGCGCGTTTGTGCTGACATACAAGTACAGCGACAAGGTGTTCCACGCGCAGATACAACCAGTAAGTGCATATAAAAAATGAAAAGATAACTAAGCTACGAAAGAACAATTTATAAAAATCTTCCATCTCATTTAAGGTATTTGACGAACGATGTAACTGCTGGCTGTACACTCTCGACAAAGGCGTGACTAGGTTTTACGACCTGCTGCAACTAATCGAATTTTACCAACTGAATGCCGGCTGTCTACCCACGAGGTTGACCCACTACGTGCAGAACGGCGTCCCGGCGATGCTTCCCCTGCCGGTCCCGTTGACGCAGTTTGACGACGGCGACGGCACGCCACCGTCGGCCGAGCTCGGCCGACGATTCAACTCGGCGAACAACACGTGCATCGGCACGCACGTCGAGCACAAGCACAAGAGCATTTGAGGATAGGGATTCCAGCGGCTCGGCGGCGAGAATCTCGCCGCCGGGTGCCCGCTCGACTACGCTTCTCGAAGGGAGCTCGAAGTAAACCGGCCCCCCGACGCGAACGTACGATCCGCGCGTTCGGGTTGCTGGAGTTTGTGCCTCTGCAGCTACAGCAAGTGGAACCTGTAGCCTTGCACGATTATTATCTGTTTTCCTCCGCAAAGGAGCGCGAAAAGTGTGATTGCCAATTAGAATTTGGCAGCGAAGAGTAAACCGTGCACGCACCATGCGACGCGCCGCTCCTCCGGTTATCCGGAACTCTCGTTGCCCGTTGCCTGTTACCTTTTTAATCGATTTCGTCGTCCGTCACGCGTATTCCTCGCTATGAAAATCGGCTTTGATTGCGGTCAATCAATACCTATTTTCTACGGCGGCTTCTCTTGCCTAAATCTGGGCCGTGCCGCGGGACCACCGGACGACGGAGGAGCGCGCAGAACTAAATAGATTAGTGCTCGGGGACAAGGAAACAACAACTTTACTATGATTATCATTCAATCGTTATTACTACAATTATTATGATTACGATTATTATTACCATCGTGGTCGTTGTCATCATTTATCATTATTATTGTTATCATTAGCGACACAAGTATCATCGATGCAAACTACGATAAGATATATTTTGTACGAAAGTAGGCGGTGACCCGCGCAATTCACCAGATCTCGACGTCCATGCAAAGAACAATAAAACTTATATACGCGTGTGTATATGAGCACGTCGCGTGTATACACGTGTATATATGTGCAAAATGTCTATATGCTGTTACATTACACTTCTCTTACGTCTCCTTTCCTTTCCTTTGGAAAGATCGCTCGAGGAGCGGTACGTTCCACGGTAACCGTATAGCTAACTTTCAGGCTTTGCCGGCGAACGGCGCAACGCGGCAACAGGTAAGGTTGGCGGTCGACGGTCAGCAGGTAACAGGCAGCGGTTCGCCAAGGGAAGGGGGATCGATGAACGTAGGCGGAGAGGTGGAATTCAGGTGCGAGCTGAGAAAACCCGGATCCGCACTCACGATCAGTCGATCGCGGGCAACCAACGCGATTCAGTCCAGTGCCTTTTTATTATACGTTTAGTTTGTCCGCGTTTACCCGATATTCGTGTTTCTTTATTACCTGAAAAATTGACGTGATGCGTATCGATCCGGATCGATCTCGTCATGTTAAGCGACCACTTCCGCTGATCTTGGGTAGGATTCCACCTGTTCTGAGCAAGTAAGTTGTCACCTGTTTTAATGATCGCGTAATCCACTCGTTGATCGATTTCCGTGCGTTGCGGTACCAATTGCGTAGTTTCAACGTGATATTCTTTTATTTAATGGATATTGTTTTTGAATCCAAGCATCGAAACCGAAAGGTTGATCATTGATCCATGAACGCAAGTAACAAGTGGTCAAAGATTAATCGATATACTTTGGCTTTGGTATTCCATGATTTAAATACAAGCTTACAATCTACTGACTCCGGATATGTTTCGGGCCCAATTTTAGAGTCCGTACGCTCGACGCCAAGCGTCCCTGTAAGTCTCGAAACCGGTCGGGTGACATTCCTGTCGATCGTTCGCGCATCTACGATCCCCGTGACTGTGATTTCTATTTCTCCTCTAGCTACTTTCCTTAGTACGGAGTCTTTCGCAGATGACGCGAGATCGTTCGCCGCGTTTCCAGCCAGGCACTGCCAGATACGAACACTTCCTTTCCCCTCCGTCTCTCTCTTTCGTTTTTGTCGTCCCGTTTTCGACATTCAAGTCACGCAGCGATCGACGGACTGCGTTTACGTTCGAATACGTACAGAAGACTTGAGGCGGGAACAGATTGGTTCGAGTGACGCTATGGAATTTCCAGGCGAACGATCGAACAGTTTCGCTCGTGCTCGAATCTGATCGAATCGGCTGGCGAGTCTCGCGACGGCCGCAGCGTGACGATAGTTCGAAACTGGTTATTCTCCGCGCGCGCGATACCGCCGATGAGTCACCGTTTTCCCTCTTCGCGTCTCTCTCCAACAAAAGGACGCGACGATATTTTTTCTTCGTTTTTCATCGTCAAACTTCGAATCTTTATGAAATAATAAAACACTTATTGCATCAGCTTAAAAGTTGCATTTGACATAAACATTTGTTTGACCATTTGAACATTAAAATATTTATTCAGCTTTTGATATTCTAAATCGTCCTATACATTACATGCGACACTTGTCATTTCTGTACACTGCATTTTCATGCAAGATAAATATTTCAATGTTTAGTCACGTATAATGTTATACATTCATGTGTAAATTATAGGTAAATACGCCAACGAGTAGAGATTGTAATACGTACAGAAATCTGGCCATTTACTATAATTGCATAAAATCCGCTGTCTATTCATAGCGTTACGTCTTTTTTAGGGAAAGAAGCGTATTTACGTTTCAGCCCCGCTGATGTATCCTGGGACCAGGCGCATTCCTTTAGGAGGGCGTCCCACCATGAATCCACTATCGATGGAATTGATCGTAACGCTTTTGATACTAATCGGTGTCGCGGCGGCTGATTTTCTTCCGCAAGGGAAGAAGTGCAAGGAAAAACAGTGCTCCGTCGATGAATATTGTAGCGAGTATGACGATCAGTGTAAACCGTGTGTGACTCTTTGCAAGAAAAAGCCGTCCGAGTGTATCGAATTGTGTAAAGGTAAGGTCCTATAATTATGATGTAAAGAAAATTACTTTTGGAATACACATACGTATAGTCGTTGAAGCCTCCATGCAATTAAAATTGTTATCATTACTTTATCAATGAACACAAGCCCTTTAAACTATACAAAGGAAAGCAAAAGAAGCATGACAAACTTAAAAAAGTATAATTTTAAAAATACAAGTAAAAAATTCACAAAAGAAGAGAAAATAAATAATACTCTATGACGATAATACAATTAACTGATTAAACTTGTTCAATGTGTTTCCTGAGGAAGGAGTCAGAAATAAATCATTTTCTATAATTTTATTCTATAAGCAGACTGCGGAATTTTATGCATTTATAAAAGATGAATTTTGAACATCAATATGCAAAAGTATAGAAAATATTCGAAGCAAATTTAAGTGAATGCTACGGCAATTAATTCATAAATGCAAACCTTTTCAATTCTCTCTTTTAAATATTTTGCATAAAAAATCGCAGTCTACCTACAGGAATATTTCCAAGTAGTTGATAAGAAATTGATAAGCATTCTAAACATTTCATTCGATTGCGTGTTATGCAATATGTTCGAATATTTCTAAGCGGGATATCTTTAAAGGAATATCCTGATCGATGCAGAGGATCGATGGGGACTAGGGAAGGTACACAGAATAGTGCACCTGAATGCGAGTCCGTTGACTTTGCACCTGACCACCGTCCCTCCGTCGACTTCCCACACGCGACCCACCGAGCCCGGCGATGACTCATCCGACCTCCTGCCTTCTTTTCTTTTCTTTTCTTCTCTTTTCCTGCCCCTTCTTCCTTTTACCTCTCCCCTTCCCGCCCTATTGTTAGGCTCCAGAAACGGTCCTTTTCGACTGAACCCAAGCGAAAGGCTCAGGCCACTGTACCGTAGTTTTTCTCGAGAAAAACGAAAGCTTTTCTGATTTCAGAGTACATTGTACATAGTCTATTCGTCCTTCAGAAAGAGCATGAAGACTTCCAAAGTAAGTATAGTAGACTTACGTATAACGCGGTCAATATACAGTCATTCAAATGTATGTGGACAATCGTTTGGCTGTAATAATACAATCTGAAAGAAGTAAGGAAACTGTTGATGAATTTTATTCAATTTCATTTACTTTATACCGTACTGCCTAAAGAATATATTTAGCCAACATTTCATTAAATATTTTATGAGTAACAATAATAAATAATTATATATTCTTATCTACGTATCCTGTGTTTTAATTATCAATTTCACTAGTCTTGGCATTCTGGCTATTAACGTTTTCATTATTTGAACATCAATATAATTCTAGTCGATTTCCTGAGGTTCTCATAAATTGTTTTTTTATACTATGCAAAAGGCAAGCTAGAACGGTGCGTGAACGGGCCACTAAACTTAAATAAATAACAAAAATTAAATTAAATTGATGATACTAGGATTATCACCGGTACTATTACATTACATATTTATATGTAACAAAATTTGGCAATAAGTATTGTTTAACAATAATGATTTCGATCATGTACTATCAAAAATGGTAGATATCCACATACTCCAGAGCAGCAGTGCACCGCTACATGAATTCGCGTTAGATGAAATCGTGCTGTACAGGAATTTTTCTCGTACAACACACATAATCTAAACTAACATGTTTGAAATGATTATTGTTATGCCAATTTCTTTTTTCTATGTTTCATCAAATAGGACAATTTCAATTGAACCCAAGCGAAAGGCTCAGGCCACTGTACCGTAAATTTCCTCGAGAAAAACGAAAGCTTTTCTGATTTCAGCGAACACTGTACACAATCTAACCGTCCTTCAGAAACAGCAAGAAGACTTCCGAAGTAAGTATAGTAGACTTATGTATTGAAATGATTATTGTTATGCCAATTTCTTTTTTCTATGTTTCATCAAATATGGCATATATATGAAGTTGATTAAAACAAACGTTAACGTATATGGAAAATCTTTTATTTTATTGAAATTGAAATAAAATAGGAATTAGTCTTATAAGAACTCGCACTATAGTGATGTCTACTATCAAGAAAGGACTGTCTTATAGTCAAACGGAAAGAAGAGCCTTTGATTTCAATCTCTTGCGTGTTACGTTTCGCAGGAGAAATCGGACGGCTGCAGATTCTAGTCGAGGTATCGATCGCGGTTGCTGTCCTCGCGTCCCTATCGACCTTCTACTTGCTTCTGCGGAAATCTGACCGATGGAAGAAGATGCGAGCCGGCCTAAGACGACTGTTCGTCGGCAAAAAGCTAAAGGTAAACGATCCCTCGAAATCAGACCGCGTGTATTATAAAAAATATCATTACGTATAAAATTCATTCACAATCAAGTCAATCAATCGCTTATTATAAAAATGTACAATTTTAGAAGACGGACGATGGCAACCCTACTAATAACAACAATAATAACAATCTCCAGAAGACGCAGGAGAACGCGGAACTCGGTATGGTGAAGCATAACGGGCTGAAGATACCGATGCCGACGATAAGCGCGAGCGTGGCGCCTGCCCGGCTCTCGGAGAACGGAAGTGGGAACGCAAGCGGCAGCAGGAGCGGTAGTGGAAGTGGAAACGGAAACGCAACGCCGAACACTACCACCACTAATCTTTCGACGAGGCATCCCAGCGAGGACACTACCCTCGACTATGCTTACGACAATCCGGCGATGACGCCTAGTCCGGAAACGGTGCAACTCAGAGCGAAGCGAGAAAGTTCGTTCTAAAACTCTTGTTTGTATTTTAATGCACAGCTGCTAAACTTGTGATCCACAGATCTCATTCAGTGCGCTACAATGGATGTCTCTCATGAGTCTATTTAATTATGACTGCAGATTTTGTGCATTTATAATCAAATTGTATCCGTAGATATGAAGAACGTTTGCCATATATAAAAATATATACAATATTAGAGGAGGTACATATGGCAATGTTTAAATGATATAAGAAATGTCTATCCAAAATTGCATTTTTTTAACTAACATATTTTAATATATTTTGCATACAAATTCGCAGTCTAATTATCATAATGCACAGCGGAACGGGGAAATCAGCTGATTAAGTGAAATCAGCTAATTAAGAATGAGAACTAAAGACTTCGGCAATCCGGATTGCAAGTTTCTTTCTCCACTGAAATCAAAAGTGACGCGCATCGATCAGTCACACGGGACACTGTATATACGACAAATATTCAAAGTGCGTTAGTTTCGACGCGCTCGAAATTGTACATAGACTATTTTATTTTAAGTACTTAATCGTACGCGCGAGATATTCATCTTACGTACGAGTTTCTGTAGATCCCTATCAGCCATTCCGTCCATGAAAGGCCTTGCGAGCGTGGCTCGAGCAACCCGGCAACCGGGCCGAGCTTCGCATAGGTCAGCGACGGCACGCGCGAGATCGATAAACGAGTGCATATACTACGTTAGGTACATACCGCTACGCGACCGCCCGGCATCGATCGAGGAACTCGCGTTCCGTGCTCAATTCTACTGCTCAACCGTTCTCCGTCCACCGCGCCGTGTAGTTATGTACTCGCGTGCAATCTTTCTCTTTTCTAAACGTCCGCTTCTCAATCAGCGTCGAACTTCTTTTTCATAAATCTCATCTAATGTTACCGAGAAATGCACTGCGAATTTTATGCATTTATAAACACAACGGAGCGGCAGGAAACGGAAACGTTGTGTACAATGCATAAAAATATAGAAAATCCCACGAGTGAATGCATACTGCAATTTGTTTAAATGATAAGAGAAATTCCTACTCTTAATCGATTACCATGTGATTGTTTTATTCCGCATAAAGAACCGCAGTCTGCTGATGAAAGATTGTACGACGTACGCGATGATAGTAAGAGGAGAATCGAACACGCGGGCCGTTCGCTGACCTTACGATTAGGATTAGGAAATAAGTTACTAGTGCACAACTTGCACAGCGAATTTCTCAGTCCACGTGAACGAGAAACGGCGTCTTCCACAAAACGCGAGAAAGAGTTTCGTTCACTCTGGACGGTAAGCGCGTTCGTTTATACATAAATACTATTAACTCTAAGATTTTTCCTGATGTAAACCTCGTAGTTTGTATTCCGATGAATAAACACACGAGTGCACACACTTTCCATTCGTACCCTTTCCCCTACCGATCGCACGCTCTGTTATGTAGTTTTATGTACAGTAGTACCTCGGAATACATAATAATAATATACGGACTAACGGAATATAATAATTCCTGATATTTAGATTCATACTATATCTAATTAGTAAGCAAGAATTTTCAACAAAATTCTTTTCTTTAACACGAGCTTACATGCATATATCAATTTTTACTTGAAGCTATTCAAGCAAACAGTACTGTAAATGCTTAAATATACGCATATCCATGCGTCGTTATTTTGACTAGAAAATAACAATATAAGATAGTAACAGACAATAGAGAAAGGAACTACCGATTGCTGTTCCGCGAGATGAACGAAGGTGAAGTAGAGTTTGGTTCCTGTGGGGTCGGTGTTGCTGGGGCGGTAGGGTAAGAAGAGTTAGCCGGTCTAGCCATCACTAGCTCTCTAGTGTTCTTCTCCGGTCTGATCAACACCACGTAGATCTTTGGCAGGAACAGGCAGACAAGTTGCACCAAACCGTTCAGCGAGAGCGACAACGCCAATGTGATCACTCTGACCGCATTGCTGGTGGAGGCGAGGTAGAGCGGAACGAACGCCAGCCACAGGACGATCGTCGCGTAATTCGCGAACGCGATGCACCGGGTCTCATTAAATCCTTCCGGACACTTTCTCGTCTTGATCGCATAAAACGTGGACGCGACTAAAATCAAGCAATTTATCCTATTTCCTAATTTTATAATTGTCTAAACCCTTAAATAAAAACAATGACAAAACATTGAAATTTTAACAGTTATTAAATATTACATTAATAAAACATTGGGCAAAATTTCGTTCAGAAGAAAAACTTATGTAAAGCATATTTTCTTTGATATTATTTACGTAGCATAAAAGATATTTTCCTATCTTCGTAAATAAAGAAAGTATTTAGATGTCTACATTTAGGTGGACCACGCTGTATAGCAATTCGAATTAAAATAAAATATTTTTATATCGTTATATACAATTATCGTTATGTCCCTATCAGATGTAATAGGACATAGGCTTTTAGGAAGAAGACTCACCGGTCAAGAGGAACGGATACACCAATCCGGCGACGTAAGATCCATCCTTGGAATCCCGACAAACCCTGACGTTCGCGTCTCTCGTGGGATACCAGTGTTCTACAGTCGGAGGATCTTTGAATAACCAGCTGACATCGAACGCGATCTCGAGCATGACGAGGATAGAGGCGATCGCCAATTGAGACCTCGGGCTGGTGTACCGTCGCCTGCGAGGGCTGCGCCCGGGATCATTGAATATCCTGTGGATCCTGTTGATCTTGGTGGCGAGCGCAGCGTAGCAGACGGTGTAGCAAAATCCGATGCCGAACCGGGCCACAGCGCATCTCTCGACGCTGGGCTTCGCGACCACAGCGAACGTCATCGCGAAGCAACCGAACGTCCCGAGCAGAAGCAAGAAGGACAGCTCTCGGCCGGAAGCCTTGATCATCGGCGTGTGCCGGTACTCGTAGAATACCCAGCAGACGAATGCCGTTAGCGCCATGCCTGCTTGTGCAGCATTGTTATTTGTACCAGTCATCGCAGATAATCATTCATAGCAGGGGTATGCACGTGCATGCTTACATACAGTTGCAGACAAAAGTTTCTGAATAATGTATTATGAAATGTAAATGTGTATTTATGTGATTATTGTATTTCATGCAGTTTTTATGTTTTATTTCATTGGGAGTTATAAACATATTTAATTATTTATTCAATGTCCTGCAAGAATTCATCGAAAACCTGCTTATAAAGTTGTTTTATATTTAAATTGCTACATATTTGCCTGAAATATAGATTAAAGACGATTGAACATTCCAACACGACAGAACGGCCGAAGCAGTCAAAGCGTGGCTGCCACATAATCAAATTCATGTTTTGGATTGACCTGTACAGACGCTCGACCGCAAACCCATGGAAAATCCATTGGGTGAGGTAGAACGATTGATGAGAGGTGGAAAATTATCCAAATACGATGATTTATTCACAGAAATAAGCAGAATTTGAAATTCCTTACCAATATCTTATCTACAAACATTAATCAGAAGTTTACCAACGAGATGTCAAGCTATCATTTACAGTAAAGGACGTGTAACCAAATATTAATAAATCGTTTTGTCGGGCTTAATTTCAGACAAATATCGTAAAATGCGAATGTAAGAAAATAAATGATTTTTATAAAAATGTTTTCGGTGAATTCTTGCGGATGATTTTTGTTCCCAACTGTATGCGTACAGGATGTCTCGTTTGGAAACTATTGAGTCGAGAGGGGTACACGAATAGACATAGATGTATCTGCGTGTACATGCAGTTAGACAGAATTAGATTACCGGAAACGGCCACTGCAATGGCGACAATAGCCCAGGGATTCGAATAGTCCACGAATTGTTCCGGAATGGGCGAGCAGCCTGTTCCATTCTCGGCGGGCACCGTGCCCCAGTCGCACTCCTCGCACCTCTGCTCGTCCAGTTTGTACCGGTAAAGGCCGCAGCTTTGACACCTCCAGCAGCACGGGTCCTCCTTGTTCCTGACCATGATTCGATCCGAGCCGCAGGGCAGGCTGCACGAGGAGCTGGGAAACTCGCCCATCCGTTCGCCGCGAAATCGCAAGTTCTGCCGATCCAGCCGCAGCACCGGCTGCCCTTCCTCGTTCTCTGATTCGACCATATTTTTCGTTCATCTTTCGTTTATCGGATTCACACATACATAAGTACAGTATTCCCGGATATATGGCCAAACCTGGTCTCGATCAGTGGCCATATATTCCGAGGGATGGATTTCTTAGAATCGCTTGTCGTTCGAGCGCGTAGCATAAAGTGAACAGTGCAAAAGTAGCAAACAATGTTTTAAACAAAAGTTGTAAGTACTGTTATAATCAATAAATAAGATTCTGTAACACTTTTTGTTAAATCCAATATTTTTCGAATAATTATTACTCATTGACATTTTAATTGAATTTTATTTCGTGTATTGATTTGTTTATAATAAAAGCTCTTTTATACATATATGTATGCTTCATCTTTATTTCCATCTTTTTTACATGCCTGCTTTAGATAGACTACGAGTTTATTAATTCTTGAACTTAGAAAAAAATGTTGAAATGACTCGCGGTCACATATCCGAAGGAAAATGTAGTCATGTATTCGGTAATTATTATAATATCGGATCAGAATCTGGCTTACGCGTGTAGTTGCCGACGATCGCCCAATGGTAGGAACCGTTCGCCATTCGTTGGTAGTTCAATATCGAGTACCTCGGCAGCCCATCTACCGCGTCCACGAAACGAAATCCATTTCCAGCTTCGTCTGAAAAGAACCATGAATCGAACTACCAAATTCCATTTCATTTAATCATTGTCGGATGGGCAGAATTTTTGTTATCATTTGATCATTGTGATCGAAGACGAAACGCTTCGATAAGTATAGTTATCCTCATTAATAGTTAGGCACATTTTAAACCATATGCCACCATATATAAAATCTGCAGTCTGTTTGAAATATAGGTAAGTACCTTTGAAAGAGACTTTTTCTAAGTACGTAGTAAACGTGTTTCCATTGAGTGATCGCATCGCGTCGCAAAGGCCAATGCTATCTTTGCCACAAAGATCATGGCGCATATCGCGGAGTGCATATGCTACAGCGTACACCGCGTCCCTGACGAAATGCAAGAATCTTCGCTGCTTGTATCCGTTGCCCCTGTTTATGCTCAGCCTCGAATCCGTGCAGCTCACGCGCCGCTAAAACGAACCTCTTTATTTAATCTCCTTCTATTTTCTGAGGAGAGAAAAAAGAGAGAGACTCACTCTACCGTCCTCGCATCTGTGATAACTGCTCCAGAATTCCCGGAACCAAGGATTGATACGTTGGTGATCGAGCTTTAAGCCGGTGAAATATTCATCGAAGCCTGAGAGCCGGGCGTACAGTGGTTGAACGGCGAGAGCACCTTCCAGCTCCAGCACCGTCGTCTCTCGATCCACTGTTGTTGTTACAGACGTCCGTTCGTGCCGATCCGGCCACGAATCGCTGACCAGCCAAACGAAACGCGAGCCCACGCCTAATCGTCTGGCCGCCTTCAGAACACTTAAAGTCGACGACTTTTCCGCAAACAGAACTACCACTGCGTTAAACGCGTAGAAGGTCAGTGGCTTCTCCCTGAATTCTTAGCTATTAAGGTAAATGTACTAATTTCTGTTCAAGTCGCAATGAAAAAATTTCTATGATTTTTAACATAAAAAATTATAAAAAAATATGCCAGTAAGTAGAAATTACGACGTGAATAGAAATAGAGGTTAATTAATTAAATTCTTATGAATAACCAAGCATTAATTGCCAATTGGTGTTCAATTGAATTATAGATTTAATCATTTATCTGCAACCCTAATATTCATACGCACTGAAATTTATACCTCGAACGTCTGTCTTCTCGGCGATCGTTCGAACCACTTGATCGTAATCGTCATCAGTGAATCGTTCCTGACTGACTCGATGAGGCGCGCTGAAGCACACGGAATACTCGCCCGCTAGCGACGTCAAGGTCTCATATCCGTGGTCCCCGTATTCCGAATCCGTATAAACCACGGATACGTACGTCCATCCGAATCGACTGCATTAATTTTTATTCATAATAAACAATGATAATAAAATCAGCAACTCTCCTTTACGTACAGTGACTCCCATTAATATTCGGACACATCTCAAAGCGGAATAATTTTTTTATTCGTTATTCCAAAAAATGTGTCCGAATATTAACGATTAGTTTATTCATTTACCGAAGAATCTCCAACATAGCCCGTGCTTGATTAATGTCGCTCGGTACCGTTCGGAAGAACTGCGGGAACCTTTCCTTGCTACTGAGAAACGGCGACGTGGCCATGTACGAAATTTGTGGCACCGGAAACAGAGCCAGTACCGACGCAACCTGCGAATCGCGGGACCCATGAAACAGAAGTCTTCACGTTTGCACACAAGCCGAGGCGGACCAACCTGAGTAGTGACAGAGCTCGATTGCGCGCCCAGAACTGCGATCACCTGATTCATCTCGCCGTTCCAGAACTCCGGAACGGTTCCATCTTTGCACTGATACTCTGCCTGATACCCGAACCGATTTTGCCGCGCTATGAAACCTTTCACGAAGTAAAGAGTCTGCTCCATAGCGTAGAGAGGATTGTCGCAGGTGTCGAAAGCTATTACGCCGAGTCTAATGCCCGGGAGGATCGTCGAATCCTTGTTCACTCGCTCGACGGTGTACAGCATGGCCTCCAGAGGCTGAATCCCGTCCTCCTTCTGTTCAACGCGCGTAATGTACGGAACACTATTAAATTCCGGACGCACTTCGCATGCATACATAGAAAATGTGATACGTCCTTTCACTGTCTTTAGTGGTTTCCAAGCATCGCTGCTATGTGAACTTACGTGAATATGCCACATTTTCTGTGTACGTGCAAAGTGAGTCCAGGATCCAATGACCCGTTTTTACATAATTTAAATATAAAATAACGCTCGGCGAGATTGATTACCTGAATCTCGCCGCAGCTGTTGCCACCGGTACCCTTTCGGTGAACAGGGAACAGCCCCCCTAATATCAGATCACCCGTCAAGTTCGCGAACAAAACGCGGTCGTTACTATTGTTTGCCCATTCGAATAACGAGCAGGGCGCGAACAGGCTTATCAGAAAAGCGTAAATCGAAATCGACATCGTCGACCTCGCGAGGGACAAGTAGCTCTAGCCGAAACGCGACTGCCGTCACGACGGAGGGAGTGTCCGATCGCTACGCTTCCGGAAAAACGGAAGGGAAATCGATCGGCGAATGATAATAAAAAGATGCAGAGGCGGTGGCGGGAAAGAAGGTAAACGGCTCGGGTAAACACGTATGCCACGGAGCAATCTTGTTAAATGCGTGTTGGCGTGTCCCCGTCTCGTCGTCTTCTTCTGGTCGATTCATGCTTACCGTAACGATAGTAAAATTTTACATACCAGCCGGCGAAAGTTTAGGCTCGAAAAACGACTCCACCCGTAAGATAGTGTCATATTACAGGGAAAAGCATGTAAAAGCATGGGGGCCTCAGAAGACATCGATGATATCTTGTCCAAATTAGTGTAGACGGAAAGTATGTGTCAGTCACTCCTTGTGCAGCTTCGAGTAGCTACTACACCTTCTTCTATCACTGATCCTGTAGCTACCAGGTCAATTAATATAACTAGGAAAGTCTTATCAATAAAATAGTTAATCATCTACACATGTATTATTGTATTTGACACTTTAATAGGGTTTGCGATCAGAAAAGATTGTAATCTACGACTTTCCAAGTTATATACGTTCAGCAGCTACTGGAAGCTGCACGGGGGTTGGCTGACCTATACTTCTCATCTACCCTCGCACTAGTTTAGGCAAGATCGGTCGGTACCTTCTGCGGCTCCCATGTTTTCCTCTGTACCTCGTACTTTCTAGTATGCCACTGTATTTTACGTCGGAGACGTCTTTCGAGCCTAAAATTTGGCCGTTTAGCACGTAAAATTGTGGTAAGATCATTCGTCGTCGTTTGGTTGATCGCGAATGAGACTGACATCGATGGGACGCGATTAGGGCCGACGAGACGAGTCGCAGGAGATGTACATACATGTGATGCGTGTCGTGCGTAGCGCCAGGGCGATCGCGTGCACCAGCGCAACGCGTGAAGAAGGAAGAGAAGAGGATGGCTGACGGAGGTAAAATAACGGAGGAAGCAGAGAGTGGGAACGATAACGTCGGAATCTCCAATTATTCAATCGTCTCTCCGAGCCGGTTCGTTTAAGGTTCGTCGGGCTCCTCGTCGCGGTCCCTTCCGCGACACGCGATCAGAGACCGACGCGTTTTTAACCGGAGCAGTCGCGTGCACCTTCGTTACTCGTTCATTCATCAGTTTTGAGAAAAGATCGTTCTCGAGCTTAAAGAATTATGGACGGAAACGACGATGACGGTGTGTTCCAGCAGAGATCGTTCGGGGCGATCGATTGCGCCGTGTTTGCGGGAATGCTCGCGATCTCGGCTCTGATCGGTGTCTACGAGGCGTACAAGGCGCGGAAAAACGTAGATGCTGTGCGAGAGTACTTGGTCGGAGGGCAGAACATGTCAATTTTTCCTATAAGCATGTCTCTGATAGCTAGGTAAGGTAAATATCCCTATTTCTGTTCACGTCACAAATTCTACTCACACGTTTTCCTATAATAATCTATAAATCATCTTGAGATCATAGAAAAAATAGCTAGTGAATAGAATTTTACATGTTATGTTAAAATCATAGAAAAACAAGCCGGAGAGTAGAAATATCTTCTTTTAAATTATACAAAAATAAGCCAGTGAGTAGAAGTTGTGACGTGAATAGAAACTGGAACGTTTACCTTAATCGGAACGTGGCTCGTGGCTTGTTCCGTCGCGGCTCAACAAAACGCGTCGTCGGACGTTGCAGTTACATATCGGGAATAACAATACTCGGGCTGCCCGCGGAGATGTACGTCTATGGGACCCAATTCTGGTGCGCCGTAATCGCCGACTCGTTCGTCTCGTTAACCATGGCCGTGGTCTATCTCCCTGTGTTCTACGGCCTCGGCATCACTTCCTCTTACGAGGTAACGAACTTTTATTCCATCCATTCCATGGACCGATAAATCCTTTCGTTTCTGGCTTTAAATAAAAACTTGTATAACATATGAAAGTGAATACGCAGTTGACTTCTTTTACCTAATTACTAATTTTATTATTGTATAAAGAGAAAGCGTTCCCTGTCTGGTAGCAAAAATCTTAGCAACTTATGACAGTACCTTTCTTATGTATTCTGTAGTGTAGCAAGTTTTATTTGTAAACCAAACAACATTATTGTGAATAATTACTGAGTCGAACAAGAATAAGAATAGATTTTTACCCCTTTGCCAATATCTTTTTAAGGTATTTAGGCGATAGGGCGATAAGGTATTTAGTAAAAAGTAACAATATACATCCCATAGAAAATTAAGTTGATTCGTCGAATATTAAAACAGTTATTCCGTATCGAAATTTGTCCAAATATTGTATTAATCGAAGTCACTGTATCTATGTACATTTCTTTTCTGGACAACGCGCCGCGTTTCCTTTCAATTTTTTCCAGTATCTGAAGCTGCGTTTCGGCGAGGCCGTCCGACTATTGGGTTCCATCATGTTCATGCTAAAAATGGTAAGCGGAAGGATTGGAAATTAGGAGCAGGTTGAAATCGCACATTCTCCATGCGTTTGCAGCTGCTCTACATCCCGCTGGTGATATACGTACCCGCGCTGGCCTTGAATCAGATTACCGGGCTAAACCTGCACGCAACAGCTCTGGTCGTCTGCGCTGTCTGCATATTTTACACTACTCTAGTAAGGATAAATGCTATTTCTAATTGAACGTGTTACCGGTAGCTACGAATTTGATTTAGGGTGGGCTGAAGGCGGTCGTCTGGACCGACGCCATCCAGACGATCGTGATGTTCGGCGGTGTGATAGCGATCGCTGTGATCGGGACGAATAACGCTGGAGGATTCTCGCGGGTCTGGGAGAGGAACCGTCTAACTGATCGAATCGAATTCTTCGTGTAAGTCGACGCTCGTTTCGCTCGAGTCTCCGCTCTCAACTATTACCCCGTCATCATCCACAGTATGGACATGGATCCGACGGTGCGACACACCTTCTGGACCGTGGTCGTCGGCAACTACTTACACTGGCTGGCCAGTTGCTCGGTGAACCAAGCGATGGTGCAGCGATGCCTGGCCATGCCTAATCTGAGAAAAGCGAACGTGTAGGTACCAATTTAGTAAATGGTCCCAATTTCTGTTCACATCACAGTTTCGACTCACAATCAGTGTCATTCTTCCATAATTTTATATGCAATCTTAAGTGATTAGAAATTGTAACGTAAACAGAAACTTGGATATTTACTATATTGTATTATATAGATTAGGGTCGGCAGTCTTTTTTAAATATTTCAGAAATGCGGATACTATAGGATGAAGAGTTTAATTATACAATTCGTACAATTATTAAAATGGCGAAGATATATTAAGAATTTTTATTAAAATTATTCATTACAAGTATTTGTTCAAATATCTAAAATTTAGAATTTAGAAATTTAAACGGTGGACAATTGTTTCGTGGACACCGCGTTGACGACCCCTAATGCAGACACTTCGACACTTCTTTTTTCGTCTCGTATTTTTTCAGAACGGTCGCCATAATGGCCATTGGCATAATCACCATCGTTTCATTGAGCTGTTACACCGGTCTTGTCATCTTCGCCACGTTCCATGACTGCGACCCCATCACGACAAAGGTAATATTTTCTTGTCCAAAAGCTAACATTTGAAACCTTACAAGAGGGCCACACGTTTCCCACCTCTGGGAGGGATGTTTATCTATATTTCTATTTAAAAAACATGATTTGCCTCGCGGATCGCCAGTTGTACAGAGTTACAAGAAATCGTTATAAATCGTGTGATAATTTTCAGCAAATAGGAAAGCCGGACCAGTTGTTGCCGTTTTTCGTGATGCAGATGGCCGAGTCGATCCCAGGTTTGCCGGGGCTGTTCGTCGCTGGAGTTTTCTCCGCAGCCCTCAGCACCATGTCCACCGGACTGAACTCGATGGCCGGTGTGATCTACGAGGACCTGATAAAACCGTGGTTGAAGGTTCCTCTCTCGAACGTGGCTGCTAGCCGAGCGATGAAAGGGATGGTGCTGATTACGGGTACGCTCTGCGTTGGCTTGGTCTTTCTGGTCGAGAAACTCAGCGGCCTTATTCAAGTACGCTAATTACATCGTTTAACTGCCATCGGAATTAATTGCCATCTATCACGTTATCGCTTGATTTTCTACTCCAGGCGGGTAAAAGCTTGTCGGGGATCACCGCTGGACCGCTGCTCGGGATCTTCACACTAGGAATGTTCTTCCCCATGGCAAACTCCGCGGTAACAATTATCTCCATATATTCGTGAAGCAAATTAAAAATATAACAGCGTTTATCGACTAATACGTGATTTGAACATTACGCGGTTCAACAACGAAAACCTACTTCATTTTTTGCAAAAACAAATCCAGAAGTAGAATTTTGTTTCCGAAAAATAGCGATTTTTTTAAAATTAGGTATTTTATGTTTCTGAACGTGATTTCTTTATCAGAAATGTCTGCAAAATTCAATGCTGTGCAGCAAATTCCTCCTGGATAAAGATCTTAAATCTTTATATAAAGAAGAACATAGTATATGTAAAATTTTACAAGAACCGATATTTTTGGAGACGGTGCGTGATAGATCATCTCTGCTTCCGGATTTATTTTTGGCATGAGACACTCTATAAGAGTTACGTAGTAAATATTGCAAAAAGGATGTTGTTTTGTGTAGTATCATTTTTTATTATTTTAGTCTTTGGCGTATCTTTGAGGAATATGAGCGTGAAACTAAAAATTGTGTTTTATCGCGTTAATAATGATGCAGGGAGCTCTGGTCGGCGGTCTCATTAGCTTGAGCTTAGTAGCGTGGATCTCGTTGGGCACCCAGGCTGCTATCTCCAAAGGGAATATCCTCTTTCCCGTGAAACCGATATCCGTCGACGGATGTCCGAAATCGCTAAAGAATCATGCCGCCAATTTTACAGTCATCGTCGAAAACGCAATCAAGTGAGAAATTCTCACTCAGCGTTGTTAATTTTAATTATTTCTGCACTTCTCTTGGTTTTTTTTTTATTTCATTAGGGAGCAGCCGTTCTTCCTGTACAGAATGTCGTACCTCTGGTACACGTGGATCGGTTTCCTGACCGCGATCATCATCGGTCTCATCGTTTCTTTTTTCACCGGGTCAAATAAGCGTACGCCAGGCGACGAGAAATTATACACGCCTGTAATCCGTGGTTTGCTACGCGACTTAGATACCAAAAAACGGAATCAGGTAATGCAATCGTAAAGCACCATACGATTTTGTGAAAGTTACCGTGCGTTATGTTTTTTGGCAGGAAACTGTTGAGGAATTAAAAATGGTCGACCGGGACACGACGCGCGAATCTTGACGCAACGTGGGCAACGTCGACGTCGACGTGGAAGTAGCGTTCAAAGATGCAAATAAATACACAAGAAATGTTACAAAATGGAAAAAATGTTAATGCATACATCGTTAAAAATAAAATATAAGAATATTGATACGTACATAAGTCGCGCGCATAATATAATAATTAGACTGCGGATTTTATGCAGTTATAAGAAAACTGAGTGTAGACAAATTAGAAGTATCACGTGTAATGAGTAAGACGCGTGTTTATTATTGTTTATTATTGGAGTACTTCCTCGGCCCCTTAATTTAGGAAGCTGCAGAAGTTATAAAAAATAAGTATGAAATAAGATAAGAATTTTTCATAAAATGTTTGCATTGTTAATACAATAAGTACGTGGCAAAATGGCAATCATAAGACAATTCAGAACATCCAAATCTGATATCTGAATGTTCAAACGATTAAACAAATATTTATGTAAAACGCATGTTTTAAACTGATACCATATATCTTTGTGCAAATTCCAGTTCTTATAAATAAAGTTAAATAAGGGAAATGGATATCAACATTTATTCTTCCTTCCTCTAAATATTATAAATTATATTTTACTTTGGATATTTTGTATCTCTTTACATATCACTGCATTCTGTTTTTCTACAAATTATTCAATCTCCATACAATCTCCATAAAAATCCGCAGTTTAATAAGAATAATGTACAAATATGCTGTACCAACATGTATTTTATAATTTATATGTTTGTACAGAGAACAATTACAAACATAAAGCTTAGAGTCTACGTAAAGAAGGGAAGCCAGAAATATGAAAAGGGGAAGAAAAATAATTATATTTCACAATGTCTGGCATCAGTCGTGCGTTCCAAGAAAAAAATCTCGAGAAACTCGCTATCTCTCGCCACTCTGAGGACTCCTATCAATCCTCCATCACCTCGAAGCGCCGGTATCGCCTCGAATTTTCGTGTCTCGTTACTGCCAAATCCGCCGGACCCTAGAACCGCGTGTATGCACATCGACTCGCGCATTTTAACGGTATGAAGCAATGGTGGCGAACCTGTGACCCGCGGGTCAGACACTAAACAACGAGGGTTTTTTGAAAGACCCATGCGTTGATTTTTATAAACTTATTTCTTATATCATAAAAGAGTGGACGTTAACTAACTGATTTTTTCTTTCGTACCCCCTGTATACAACTCATGGCAGTCGGTCACGAACTTGGCGCGCATATTCGTTAGGCATAGTGTCACATGCTATGGTAATTCATGCTATCACGGCATTGATATTAATTCTGATGTCGACCTTCACTTGTAAAAGTAAAACAAAAAGGGAACTTAAATCTTTTTAGATTTTAAAAGTGAGAACCAAAAAAAGGCTCATCTGTCAAGGTTTTCTGTTAACAAATTTTCAATGCTTTCAAATATTATTGGTACCCTTCATACCACCCCCTCACCCTTTCCCCGTGTTTCCAAATGACGCCACTGACAGTGACCCACAGGCTAGTATTAAAAAAAAGAATGGACAAAATTTGATCCACTTCTAAAAAAGGTTCGCCATCACTGGTATAAACGACCAAAATTTACAGAATGTATGGTGCATTTTCGTATCCTCCACATGCAAACGTCGAGGTTTAAGAAGTGAGAGGTGACATGCCGATGGTCCTGGGATCCTGCTGTCCAGGTTGCGCCGGTGGCACAGGTTGAGGTGGTCCGGCCTCTAAATTCTTCAACAGCTGATTCAACCAGTGTTTCGTCGATGCATCCTCCTGTAAACACGTCGCGAACGTGTTATCTCTCAGCTGATCCGGCAGACACTGTCTCAACGCTAACAGAGCCCTGCGAATCGATCAAACAAATTATGATATTGCATTTTAGATTCAAATCTATTATCCAGAAAGTCCCAGCTCACCTCGGATTGTCAGAAAGTCTCAGGTAACACCTAACCACGTGCTTCAGCAATCTGGCGGACGGATCCTTGGCCAGAGACAGCACCATCTTCCCAAGGATCATCGCGACGTGGCTGAATCGATCATAAGTTTGACAGATGTACGACAGACCGCTGTCGTCGAGCAGAATTTTTTGCAATATGAAAGTAGCCACCGTTTTGCTCAGCTCAGAGCCACTTTCCATGATACGTAAACAGAGCGGGATGATCTCCGTGGTGAGGAGAAACGTGATTACCTCTTGCTCGTCAGTTTTTACCAAAGCTCCTATCACTCCCAAACTTGTCAATCGAAGGTACTCGAACGGTCGTGTTTTGCTCACAGTGTGTAGAAACGGGTACAAGAAAAGCGGCACATGGGCCTACATAAACAGGTTAGATAGAATCATGGATAATTGCGAATAGTCGAACATTTACGATGCTTACCTGTAGAAACGAAGATCTGGTTTCCGGATGACTGGCAACGCACTGTAAGAGAGCTAACGCATTACACACGCGATTGCTCTGATAGGCAGTCAGGGTAGCTGGGTTAATAGCAGGGTAAATGTTTATTATCTCTTGAAGCAGCGACGAGATCGTGCCGAACGAGTGCCACAGCATCGGTGCCAGCTCTGGTACTACTTCTCGTTTCTTGCTCAGTTCTAATAGAGCGTTCTCTCTAGTTTCGGAATTGGACAGCTCGATTATCCACGTGTATACTTTTTCTCGATCCACCATCGATTGCAACGCAGCTGGACCGTGCTGCGAGCTCATTTTCGTCATTGGATCTTGTTCGAGAACTTATCGAATACAACTGTTCGCTATATTATGTTATATATTTACTATATTTACCCGCCTTTTCGCGTAAACAGATAGACGGAACGGAGAATAAAACTTGTTGCTTGCGACAGAGATCAGAAACCAGCGATTCAAAATACAGAACACACTTTTATGTTAGGTTAAATGATTAGATTCGATACAGATCAACCTGCTTTCGTCTCGTATCCGTAACCATAATACTGCATAATACCGATAATATCACAGTATACTACATGTCTAAAAGGCATGCGTTAATGACGTCACAGCTAAAGATGTCACGTGACCGCAAGACGAAATTGTGCGCTAAAAGGGATCTGTAAACTATCGTGTAAATCACGTAAACTAATTTAAATTCAGTTATATTGGTAAAATATTGAAACATGCTCAATTTTTTTTATCTTGTCATGAAAAGCTTTTCTTTTCTTGGATATTTTTATTCATCACTACGCGGTGTCCATATGTATGTAGTCAAAGGTCCATGCATATACAGTCAAAGTCAAAGTACGATCGTGTGCACTGCTTTGGTTGGTGTGGTTGTGGTTGGTGTGCGGTGTGCACGATGCAACCAGATGCAATACCCGGCGAAATAGAGGGGAGAGCATTTAGCTGCTGTACAATTCTTTTTAAAGTATTTCATTAATTCATTGTATTTTAAAATCTTTTAATACAATTTGTACAGCCGAAATGTCAATTTAGATTGCAAGCAATTTGTTTGCTTGCTTTATCGATTTATCTATTTACCGTAGAAAATATGAGGTTCTCTATTCGTATAGCCTGCGTCTTTTCGTTTTGATACCCATTTCTTTATTAAAGAAAAAAAGATGATCAAACAATGTCTGTCAAATTTTCTACTTGCCGGTACTATTAGATTTTTATTAATGAACTCCGGTTACCAAAAGATTATCAGTGATCGCGTCGAAGTGTCTACTGCGTTGAATTCCTGGAAAAGAGGTTGGAACACATTTTTACCTCTATATATTATTATCATAAATAATCAGTAGTCAGAGCAATTGTGACGTTCCCAATTTATTTCTAGTGACCGAAGGAGTACATCTGCACAATTTCGGGATAGATCCATACGCAGGAGATTTGTTTCATGAAACACCTATTGGATTATTCATCTTTAATTTTCTGCAATTGCATTTACCACAGTGGCTATTGTTCTCTTTATTTATTTTCACGGATCTGTTAACAGCATTGCTGCTTGGATTTACAGCAAAGCAGTATACAACTGAACTGGTCAGTCCATTTATTTATTTATGTTTCATAATAAAAATGATAAATAATCATAATATGATTTATTTAATATAGATATCCAGAAAGAAAGAGAGAGAAGAGAAAACTGATGATGAAAATAGAGGAGGTCAGGATGATGCAACTGCCATATATACTTCCACTATGTACGTCTCGGCAGGATATTTGTTCAGCCCGTACATCATACTGAATTGTGTTGGACTTACAACAACAGTATTTACAAATTTGTTATATTCGATAGCACTGATTTCAATGACAAGATCGTCTATATTCTGGAGCTGCTTATCGATTTCATTGTTAACGTTGCAACAACTTTATCCCATTTCGCTTGTAGTGCCAGCGATTATATATATCGCGCGTTCCGATAGCAAGCAACGGAAACGGAATATTATCGTATTCGTCGCGTTGTTCGCGAGCATGTTGATAAGCCTATTTTATATTTCATATTACATTATGGGAAGCTGGTCGTTCGTTTGGAACACGCACGGTTTCATACTGACGGTGCCGGATTTGCGCCCGAACGTGGGACTCTACTGGTATTTTTTTACAGAAGTGTTCGAACACTTCCGATGGCTTTTCATCGCCTCTTTCCAAATAAACGTCGGTTTATTGTACATAGTACCATTAGCATTGAGATTAAGGCACGATCCAATGCTACTAGCATTTTCTTACTTGGCAATAGCTGCCGTATTTAAATCTTATCCTTGCATAGGGGACGTTGGTTTTTACATGTCCCTCCTGCCACTGTGGAAGCATTTATACCAATGTAAGCCCTCGTTCGAAAATTATTCATTTATTTATTACATATAATACATCATGGTACACGTATGTTTCATTTTTACAGATACACAGCAAGGGTTCATCGTAGGCTGTTTCATGCTGTTTTGTACAATTTTTGCACCCACCGTTTGGTATCAGTGGATCTACACCAGATCTGCTAATGCAAACTTTTACTTCGGAGTTACGTTGGCGTTCGCTATAGCACAAATTTTTCTACTAACAGACATACTTTTCGCGAGCGTGAAACACGAGTTCGCCGTACGACATGGTATTAATAAGGATGTCAGTGGAAGTACGACGAAACTACTTTTAGAATAAAGTTATAATATCCAAATTATTAATTGTCTCTCTTCATGTGTCCAATCTCCCTCGAAAATGTATATTCACAAATTACCAGATTTCATGAAACGTTCAACATTTGTTATAACGGTTAATGACTTT